GACTTTGAAACCTTTCAACTCAACATAGAGACATTTTTTTAAAAAATCCACCAGTAAATATGTTCATTGCAATAAGCTCTACAAAGTTACTGGTTGGTTTTCCAAAAAAATGATTCTATGTTGAGTTGAAAGGTTTCAAAGTTGGAGTATTTTTATAAGTTCCGTCAAAAATTGAAACAGCGATCATTCCAAATTTAGTATTCAATGTAACTTATGTCACGTGCAAAAATTAAAAAGTTTTATTTTCAATTGTTTCAATTAAATTCATTAATATTATCTGGTAACCGGCGATGTGATTTATACTTTTTTACTGCCCATTCAGCAATCCTACCTTCTAAGCCCTTCAAATATGCATCCATATATCTCCATGACTTTCTTGAAAACTTTCGAATTGTTGTAATGGGAACATTATCAAGTACTTCTGGAACTACTCTCAACAAATCATCATATTTATAAGTGCATCTCCTTCTTGTTTCCCGTTTTGCATATCCCCAATATCTTTCAATGAAATTACATTCACAGTGGAACTTTGGATATTTCTCAAATATATGTTTAGCTGCAATTATTGATTCCTCCAGTGCTGATTTCTGCTCTAAAAAATCAGGTTGACATGACAAAATTCGTCTTGCACAGCAGGTTTGCCTATTGAGATCTCCTTCTGTTTTACCAGAACACTGATCACAAACAAGTTTAATTTTCTCTACTGGCCATAAACCACGTTCAGTTAATACCACCTGGATCCCTTTTGGTTTTCCTCTTAACTCAACATCAGCATCATCACCAAAAACCATCTTTTGAATACATCTTTTTCCTTCTTTGTTAATAAACCAACCATCACGCAACTTTGGTTGCTTTTTTGCTGGACCCAAATTCATTCTTGTGACTACAAGTGCATCTTCTGCCATTGCATTGTGATTAGTTGACTGGTCAAAGCAGAAAATTCCAACACATCCAGGATGAAGTACTTCAAAGATGGGAATTGCTCTATTTACCAACTTTAAAATTAAGAACAAAAATTATCAGATTAAACACTTACCATACATTTTATAAACTGATACAACCTGCAATTAATCACAGTTCCTATAATTACTTACCTGTTCAATCATATGTTCTGATTTCCAATAACCATCTGTTTGAATTGATCGTAAAACACGTGCTTCTCTTAATTTAATGTTTGGATTAGTCTTCAACTGTTCATCAGTCAATCGCAGAGGGCCATGGCAAGCACAAAGAAAGTCAGACACCATTATAGAGCGACCCTGATACTTTGATCTCAAGATATCCTCTTCATCCTGCACCCACACCTTCTTCTGTCCTTCATTGGCATAAAAATGGGATTCATCATGTGTGATCAAAACATATTCTTTCTCACCAGGCTGAAGTTGTGGCTCAATAATTTCACTTAGCATGTCTCCACTATAATCTTTCATAAATCGTTTATAATTAAACATCCTCTCTAACCATTCTTTCCTATATTTAACAACATCTGGACGTTCATGTCCATCATAAAATACACCTTTTCTCTTTTCATCATACTTATATCCCCACATGTGCATATATTTTCGACAAGTCTCTTCTGAAATTGTATCTTTTTTTATGTATCCAGTAATCTTTGGAAATACTGTTTCTTCAATGTAATTTTTTAATTCTTTAGGAAGACGATTTTCTGGCTTTTGCTGCCGTAACCATTTTTGACATTGGTCAACGAAATCTTCACTGTCAAGCAGGCATTCAATTTTTGTATGCTTTCCCTGTTGATGGTCAGGAAGCTTGCCATTATGAAAAAAATAATTTCCCCAAGCTCTAATACAACGTGACATGTAGTCTCCTTTTCTCCAAAAATTTTTTGCAACCTGCAAACTTGCATCCATTTTCCCCATTCCATTTAAACACAATTGATAATACTGGCTTAAACTCAAAAGCTGTATATGTTCATAAGCCCTATAAGAATTGTTTGATTTAGAGATTTTGCAACGATCATTCAAATCCTCTAAACATGCTTGCAAGTCAGAGAAGGATAATGATGAAGTGGAAGAAATTGATGAAGGTAAGGATGTTAATGGTGATATTGACTGCATGAATGAGGATGAAAGTGTAGGTGCAGATGTAGATATTGATGGTTGAAAAAAAGTATCAATTTTTTCAATTGACTTTGCATGTTCTTTTAATTCTTCTATTGCTTTATGTCTACGCCATTGAGTGGTTCTTGATGTAGAATTATAGTAAACTCTTTTATTTTTTAATGCATCTTCCTTCCATACCAATTCCAGCCTTCTTTCAACGTCTTGAAATTCCTGTAAATCCTCTATTGACCATTCTTTACTTTCTTCTAAAACTTCTTGCATTTGACCATCATCACTCTCTATTAATTCCGGTTGTTGCTCTTGAAATTCAGAAAAATGACCATTTTTATTTCGTTGTCTGGTTGCCACTTGTTGTTTACGATTACTAGGACGAGGCATTTTATATAAAAATTAAGCTAGTACAATTGTAAGAATTACTTTCAAAGTTAAATTTTCTACAAACAGGTACTTTGATTATTGTAAAAATACAAGTTATCTTTATTTCTTATAATAAAATTTTTATAGAGTAATTTTATGTTACACTGCATAATGAAAATTGAAACATGTCACGTGATTGTCGGGTTAAGAGTTGGTGCACCATAT